GCACTCCCTGCCTGCATCCCCCTTCTCCCTAACCCCTGCACTCCCTCCTGGTTTTAGCCTTTTGCACCCCCTCCCCGCATGGCGCCCTCCACCCCCCAGGCACTTGGTGCAGCTGACTGCCTATCTCCAGTGCGGCATTTCGGCGGCGGGTCCCGGGACAGAAGGACCCCCCCCGCCGCCGGGGGCCCGGGCCCCACAAGAGTTTTCCGGGGCCCCCGGAGCGAGTGAAGGACCCCGCTCCAGGAGCCCCGAAAAACTCTCGTGGGCGCCGCTGCGGGGCCCGGGGCAAATTGCCCCACTTGCCCCCCCCCCGGGCGGCCTGTGTGATTCTCTCCAGCTCCCAACAGTGCAGCCTCAGTTGTGTAAGAACGTTCTGCGCCTGCGCGAGTTTTTGCCCTACCGAAATAGTGCTGCGCCGGCGCGATCTGCCCCAGAACGTGCGACCGGAAGTTCAATCATGAGTGCCTGTCGCCCAATGGGGGAGTGCAGTAGGAAGGAAGTGTGCTGCCTCTGCTGTCCCCGTTGTCCTAGCGCCCCTCCTGGCTGGGAGGCCGGACGTGCGCGCGCGCGGAGCGCTGTCCGGGCGGGGGACAGTGACTCTGGTTCCGAGGGGGATGGGGCCGACGTGGCTGGTGCTGGGAGGCGGGGCTGAGGGGCGAGCCGGGGAGTCCCGAGCGGAGCCGCAGCTGGATGGCAGGGGCAGCCCGGAGCGCGCCGCCGCACGGTAACTGGCCGCTGGGTGCCCGTGGCGGGGAGCGGGCGGGACACGGCGCTTCCCAGGGCGCCCCGCCTGGAGCCCCGGCCGGGCCGGCGGCGGTGCCCAGCGCCCCCACCCAGGGGAGGCGGGTCCCTGCGGCCGGGCCCAGCCGGCAATAGTGACGGTCCTAGCGGAGCCGAGAGACCGAGCTTCCGACAGGGACCATCGGTGCAGCGCGGTCCCCGGGGCGGGGCGGGGCTGACAGCGCCTGCTCGCTCCTGGCAGCCGCCCGGCACTGGCGGGACTCGCTGCCGCAGGGTCGCGGGACCTGCCCCGGGCCGCTGGTCTGGTGCTCGGAGCCCCTGAGGGGCAGCGACGGGAGCCTGCTGCAGAAGTTGCTTCCTAAGCCTGACTTGTGCCCAGCCCCGAGGGCTGGTGTCCCTAGCGCTGCGCACTTGTCCCGGGGCCTGCGGAGATGCCCCCGGGCCGCAGTAACGTTAATCCCTCTTTTACACTCTGCCCAGCGCTTGGCCTCAGATGTCTGGTGGCAGTGAGTTTCACTGGTTAATTGGGTGTTGAGTAAAAATGTTTCTTTTTTCCAGTTTTAAATTTGCTGCCCTTGGATTTCATTGGCTGTTATCTTGTTCCCGTGTTACAGGAGAAATGAACAGCAGAGCAGTACCTGTTCTTGCTTCACTGCACCATTCAATATTTTATATGCCTATTTCAAGAATCCTTTTTATTCATCTCCTTTTTACAGTAATTACTGTCTTTGTCTCTAATAATTTTCCATCTTCCATGTCTATTTCTGCTATATCCTTTTGGAGGTAGGGTGATGAGAGTGAAACAGTATTCCAGGAGATGTATACCACTGATCTATAAATCAGCTCAAATGGCTTAAGTCTGGCAAAGTTATTAGCAACTGAAAACAGGTCTTAGAGTGGAAGGTGTCACGCAACTTCATCTATAGGTGTGACTACCTTTGTCACCTTTAATAATGGAATGATAACATTTGCAGGATTTTCAATACCATTCTATCTATCAACTTGTTTGCTTTTTTCACTGCTGTTGTGCATTCACCTAGAGAACTTCATTGCACTGTGTATAGTGACAACACAGCTCTTTTCCCTGAGATGTTACAGTTAATTTATAACTTAGTAAATTGTAGGAGTTGATCAATTATCCCTTCTGATGTGCATTACTTAGATGAAATTTAGTGCTGACAAATTCAGTCATTCATGGTAAGATTGCTATAAATCAGTGGTTCCCAAACTTTAACAACCCATGAACCCCTTTCACTAAAATGTCAAGTCTTGTGAGCCCCCTCCTAAAAATGAATATTTCCAGGGATTTTCTCCCTTACCTCAGCATAAATTATAAAAGCAGTGAGCTTGGAAATATAAAATTTGTTTTTATGACATGCTTATTATTATTTATCATTACAGTATTTTTATTACATTATGAAAATGGCAACACTCTTCCAAGAGCTCACTTTTGTAGCTTGTATCACTTTTGATTAAGCCTGTTATAAGACAAGGCTCCTATCAGAGGCGCCAGTAGAAAAAAGGGGTGCGGGGGCAAAGCCCCCGCGCACCCCAGGCCTGGGGCGGGGGCACCGCCGGAAAAGTGGGGGGGGGCCCTGCAGGTGCCGCCGGAAAAAAGGGGAGGGACCCGGGGGGGGGGGGGCGGCGCTCAGGGGGGGGGGGGACGATGCCTCCCCC